TCTTGCCTAACAAGAAAGAAAGAAATGATCTAGTCACATATGGCTGCCCAGGGGCTCTCCAAAACAGAGTGGTCCATGCAGAAGGTTACACGGACTGTTTTGGGGGGCTCCACGGAGTAATTTTGATAGTTTTCTCAAAGGACACATGACAATCCTGGGTGCTTATTATGAAGAAGTTTTAAGAAAACGGAGCACTATCAACTACGTTGATGAGAAAGAAAGCCCGGAAACCTGCAACCGTGGCAGGACTGTGCCTCTGCTCATTATTCGTTGGGCAGAAAGGGCTGTCTTAGGAGGATTTTGTTGGGAAACCTTACCCTATCCACCCTACAGTCCTCATCTTGGCCCTTCAGCTTCTTTTTATTCCTAAACCTCAAGAGCACTGAAAAGGAACATGAATTGGATGTTCGACCTGCAGTTTTGGGGGGCTTTTAAAAAAATCATTTTAGGGGCACATACAACTCTTACCACAGTCCATACATACATCAATTGTATAAAGCATTGCCCTCATCATTCTCAAAACATTTGTTCTCCACTTAAGCCTCTGGCATCAGCTCTTCATTTTCCCCCTCCCTCACGGACCCTTGATAATTTATGTTACTATTTTGTCATATCTTGCCCTGTCCGAGGTTACCACTCGTCTGCTGTCCTGCAGTTTTGACGTGGTGTGAACCGCAGAGTGCAGGCTTCTTCAAGAAAGGGCTATGGAGCGTGAAGCACTGCCTTCAGAAGTATAGAGACCTAGACGGAGGGTATGCTGAGAAACAAGGGCTTCACATTTTGGCATTTTTGTTCAGTATATGTTCCTGTGATTTTATAGCAATATTTTTGGACTTCCCCTCCCCCTTGGGTTGCTTCAGTGCCCTCAAGGGGGCAGTGTTTCCCATTTGGGAACTACTGGTCTAGAGCGTTAAGGAAGTGTGCAGAAAGGTTGGGCACAGGAGGAAAGGGTGCGGGGGCAAGCCGAGAGTGTCCCATTTTTAAAATTTTCTTATACTTCAGACTTTTCACCAGGAGCCGTGGTAGTGTAGATGTCACACGCTGGGCCGTGATCCGCATGTATGGTCAGCAGTTAAAAACCACTAGCAGATCATTAGGAAAAAGACTGGGTTTTCTGCTCCTGTAAACAGCCTCAGAAACCCACAGGGGTGGGTCCCTATGCGTCAGCATTGACTTCAAGGCAGCGAGTTTGTTTGATTTAACTTTTCACTGGCTAAAGTTAGTCTCTTACCAAGTACTGGCATTTCAATTTTTGTGATAATGAAAACAGACTGGGAAATTAAAGCTCACTTGATATTGTCACCAACTGTTTAAAAAACTGCGTTCAGTCTATTTCCAGTGCATCTCTTTTTTTTTTTTTAAACATTTTATTAGGGGCTCATACAACTGTTATCGCAATCTATACACACATCAATTGTGTAAAGCGCATTTGTACATCATTCTCAAAACATTTTCTCTCCACTTAAACCCCCGACATTAGGTCCTCATTTTTCCC